TGGGTTTGAACCGCCAACCTTCTGGTTAGCAGTCAAGTGCCTTAGGCACTATGCTACCAGAGCTCCCAATTAATGATTAGAACCTGTGAATTCTAGGAAATGAGGTCATCTCCATCTCTTCTTTCCTCTTTGTGTTCTAATGTACCATCTTCACTGCCTCCCTAGTAAATTTTTTTTTTAGTGATTATATGGTCTTAAGAAGAAATTGAGAGGATATAAAGCTTGCACAGTATGAATATCATTGAATAATTACTCATTAAGGGCATTAATGCCATTCTTATTTTTGTTTCCTCTTCATTTTTATTTTATCTGATAACTTTAGAGCACTCTAGCTGATAAATCAATGGATGGAGCAAATCACTCTGTGGTGTCTGAGTTTGTGTTCCTGGGACTCTCCAATTCCTGGGAGATCCAACTTCTTCTTTTTGTGTTCTCCTGTATGTTCTACATGAAAATTATGATAGGAAATTCCCTCATCGTCCTTACTGTGTCTTCTGACCCACATTTACACTCTCCTATGTACTTTCTGTTGGCTAATCTCTCCCTTATTGACTTGGGTATTTCTTCTGCCCTTTCTCCCAAGATGATTTATGACCTTTTCATGAAATGCAAAGTCATCTCCTTTGGAGGCTGCATTGCTCAGATCTTCTTCATTCACTTCATAGGTGGTGTGGAGATGGTGCTGCTCATAGCCATGGCCTTTGACAGATATGTGGCCATCTGTAAACCTCCCCACTATTTTACTATTATGAACTAAAAAATGTGTGTTTTACTCTCAGTTGCTGCATGGATAATTGGTTCGATCCACTCTACAGTTCAACCAGTTTTTGTTATAAAATTGCCATTTTGTGGTCCTAATGTGCTGGACACATTCTACTGTGACCTTCCTCAGCTTACCAAACTTGCCTGTACAGATACCTACAGATTAGAGTTCATGATCACAGCCAACAGTGGGTTTATATCTCTGGGATCATTCTTCATATTGATCATCTCCTACATTTTCATCCTGATCACTGTTTGTAAACACTCCTCAGGTGGTTCATCCAAAGCTCTCTTGACTTTATCAACTCACATTACAGTGGTGATTTTGTTCTTTGGTCCTTGTATCTTTGTTTATACCTTGTCTAATCCTACTCCACACTTAGACAAATTCCTTGCTATTTTTGATTCAGTTCTCACTCCCTTTCTGAATCCAGTCATCTACACATTCAGGAACAAAGACATGAAAATGGCCATGAGGAGAGTATGGAGTCAACTCATTGTTTACAGCAGAATTCCTTAAATGACAAGAGTATTATGAAGTTTCATTCTTTTCTTAACTAATGTTAAATTTACACTTTAAAAAAACAAGAGTTAAGTGTCACAGATTAAAATAACATGATTCTCTTAAAATTTTAACTCAGAAATTGTTACTTGCCTACTGTTGGCTGAAGCATGTGGTGGAGTAAAAGTATCTTCAGGTCAAGCACAATTTCTTATCTCTCAGGAAACCTTACTTTGGTGAATTTATCATGATCCAACTTTCAAAACCAGGTCTCTTTAATGTTACAGGGTGGGTTATACTAGGCATTGAAGACTGATACTAAAAAAAATTAAATTTGATCTAATTTTTACATAATGTATGTATATAAACTGAGATGTTACTAGTGATACTTCTACCTGAGGTGGAATATATGGGTTTTTAGCATCTTTTTTCAGTATCTGTAATTTTTAGAATTTTTACAACAGATTTTGTCACATATTAATGAAAGCAGCTACTGAAATACACAAATACATTAAAAAGATTTTGTAAACTCTAGATGTGGTAATTTATTTGCATGCATATTTGACCCCTAAAGGAATCTAACAGTCATAATCTTAGCCTCAAAACTTACATTGCCTTTTTCTAGTAGGTTATAAAAACGTGGGCCTGGTGAACCTATAGATCATTATACATTGTACAATCTTCTCTTATAGAAAAGCGTAAATTAATGTTCTGCAAATATCTGATTCATTGAATGTGTTTGTATCTACTTGTGAATGTGGTACCAATTTGAATACAAGGATACTTTAATATTCAATATCTACACTCTTTACAAAAGGAAGTAACAATAAACAAAGCAAAACAAAAAAACCCCAAACAAGTTGCTATCAAATTGAGTCCTAATCTACTCAGGGTGACTCCATGTGTGTCAAAGAGGAACTATGATCCATAAGTTTTTTTTTTTTTTTTTTTAAAGTAGATCACCAGGCCTTCTGATTTTTCTGTGTGGACTCAAACCTTTTGACTAGCAGTGAAGTGTGTTAACTTTTTGCATCACCTAGAGACTGTTACAATGACAATTCCTAATTCTCCGCAAATATCATAAGAAAGTACACGTTAGACTGGTTAGTTCCAGTTTTAAACATAGGTAGTAATTGTTGAAAATAGAGTGAAACCGACTGGAGTTTTCAGCAGGATTGTCCTGCAGGTCAACTTACAGGCAAGAACTGAAAGCCAGTCACACAAAAGAAAGTAAAATTGCCTATGTTTAGATCAAGCAATGAAATATGGCAATATTTACATGAGAAAATATGGCAAATTTAATATATTTGGTCTATATGGCTCCTAATGAAAACTGATTGCCCACTGTATATACATTTCAGGAGGTATAAGTAGATTGTAAATAAATATTATATATTGCCCTGGACTTTAGAAATCCATGCTGTTGTTGTTAGTTGCAATAGGGTCAATTCAGACTCATGGCAACTCCATGTGTGCAGAATAGAACTGCTCCATAGGGTTTTCAAGGCATGATTTTTTGGCCTTACTTGCAAGGTATCTCTGAAGGTGTGTTGAACATCCAAATTTTGGTCAGTGGTTCAGTGCTTAACCATTATATCACTCAAGGGGTCCTTTGGAAATGTATAGTCTAAGGGACTTGGTCTTTGGCAAAAAAAGAGTACAGTAATTTTGTTTCTCCCGTTCAGCACTGTAAATTCTTGTGACTCACATCCTTCCTCCACACCCCGAGATTCAGGAGCTTCAGGCTGAGGCTTTACATCTCTCATATTTCAATATTAACTCTGGCTTAATAAATCTGTTGGATTTTTCTTCAACAGAGTGAGAGTTTCAATTCTCTAAGAAAATTGGTGTAATTGGCAGGATTTTGACATCCTCTTTCCTGGAGAAACTGAAGAGCTGAAAACCAGACTAAGACACTGATAAATTACCCCTTTTCTTGTTCACCCAGTTTTTGTTTCTTCAGTAGGTAGACAGAAATAAATGCTCCTGAGGCCAGATTGGGTCCCTGTCCAATACTGTAAGGCCAGGAAACAGGACATCTCAGGTTTTGATAAAAGAGAAAGTTGATTTTATTACTAAGTGATAAATAGGAGCCAGGGGAAATGTACTCAAATCTAACTCCCTGAGGGGGGGTTAGGTTGTGGCTTTTGTAGGGTTAAGGAAGGGAAAGTTATACATACTCATAAATATTCTGGGAATTTGGTGGTAAAATTAGTTGGGAGTTAGCTTGGGTCTCTTTCACCTTGGTTTAAAGGGAAAATACAGTGCTCTTGTGTGATGGATGAGTTACAGTGACTGCCTGTCATTAGCTGATTGGGGCTTATGTAGAAGAGTAAATGTTAGTTCCTAGCAACTTTGTTCAGTTTCTCTCCATGAACATGTCTGAGAGCCAAAATTGGTGCAAGCTAGTCAATTTTCCACTTTTGGTCTACTGGAATGCCTGGTATCTATCTCCCTGTAAGATAAACTAACAAAACACGTAAACACTGGGCATGGGGGAGGCTTGATAGAAAACAGAAATCTGCTATGGTGGTTGAAAATTTTGCCTCAGCTTGGGTTGTTGTTGTTGTTATGTGCCGTTGAGTCAGACCTGACTCATAGCGACTTCTCTTTGGGTTTCTGAGGCAGTATCAGTTTGGGTAGATTTAAAAAAAAAAAAAAAAAATCAAGAAAAAACGGAGGTGTAGAAGCTTGCTTATTGAGGTATTTTTTGGGTTTTTCAAGCTGCAGGAACACAAAGCAAAGCTTCTGATAAGTTTTTGTCAGACCCTAGAAGTGGTAAGGTTTTCAGTGTGTCTTTTGAGATTTTGCTTTTTTGTTCCTGGCTGCCCTTTCAGTTCCTGCCATTTTGGGTAGAAATTTAGAGCATGGTAAGTCTTCCACCTAGTGGACAAAAAGTATAACTCTCTGCACAATCCTTTTTTTTTCTTCTAAGGGTGCATTTTGCCTTAGTGTACCCTCTTGGCATGTGCTGATACTTGGTAAGATGGGGAGCTCCCCTTCTAAGGACCACAATAGATTCCCCTCTGGAACTCCTGCTTTGTGTATGGTCAGGAATGATGTTGCCAATATGGTTCAGTACCTAGAAAACTGACATGCACCCATGGAAAATAGTACTGATCAATGGCCATATTATGGTAGTTTGGGCTCAATAAAATAATTTTTCTGCACTGTGGATTAGAAACAAAAGGGGCTGTAGAATACATAAATAAGCTAGGTTAAGTTTTAGGTGCCTAGTAAGATGATCTTTACCACTTACTCTTTCTCTCTGTCTCTGACTCCGTACCTGTCTCCTTAACGAAAAGGTATCAACTTGACTGAGAAATCACTCTTAGGAAAACTAACAGGCTTAATAGGGTTGATCCATAAACTGGCTCAAACCTTAGCCTAAGTTATGGGTTACAGTTGTAGTAACTATAAACCCACCCAAGTGAGAAAATTCCATTTAAAAATCCCAAAATCCTAAAAAGAACAATGAGTTCATGATTTACTCTAAGCCTAACTGCCTTGTTAAAAGGGGAGAAAATATCATTTTAGGAAAAAGAGAAACCTTCTACAGTTACTGTCTTCATTATCCCATACTACTATAAGAGAAATACCACAAGTGGTTGTCTTTAACAAACATAAATTTATTTTCTCAGTTTAATAGCCTAGAAGCCTGAATACAAAGTGCTGGCTCTAGGAGAGGTCTAATTGTCTCTTGGTCCTAGGAGGGTCTCAGCACAGGAATCCTGAGTCCAAACAATGTACTCTAATCCTGGATCTTCTTTCTTGATTGTAATAGGTCCTTCTCTCTGCTTGCTTCACTTCCTTTTTATCTCCTAAGGTGAAAAGTATTGCTTGCCACACCCCAGGAAAATTCTCCTTTGATCAGATCAGGGCTATGTGGGATTAAGGGTGTATACCCATCCTAATCCTTTCACAACTGACCAGCTTATTGCATCAGATCACATTATGGAAAATCATTCCATTATAGCTAAATTACATCATTACCTAACTGCCAAACCACTGAGAATCGGCCCAGCCAAGTTGACACATATTTTTTTTTCAGGAACAGTTCAATCCATGGCAGTCACTTTTATTCCCTGGACAAAAGGAAAAACGAACCAAACCACACTCACTGCCATGGAGTCAAGTCCAACACATAGTAACCTTTTTTGGGTTCCCCAAAATTAAAAAAACCTTTTTTAATTAACGACTATCAAGTCTTCTTACTTTTAAGTATTATTATTATAAACTAACTATATCCATTTTTAAGTTTGTCATGCATAGACAAGTTTTACCTTGCTAGTTTACTGAAAACACAACCAAATTGACTGTATTAGAGTAAAAATATTATACTATTTTTAACATAATTGTTATGGGATTGATTCAAGACTTTTAAAAGTCTTATGGAGAAACTGACAGAGTTTTCAAGTTGCTGGTAACCAAAATAAGATGGAATCAAAATTAACTGCATGAGACCATGTAAGCTGAAAACATTGCTGTAAGATTTTATATAAGAATATTGTTAATGTTCAATGTTCTATTGTCCTGTTGTTGTTAGGTGCTGTCAAGTCAGGTCAGACTCATAGAGACCCTAAGTACAACAGAATGAAACATTGCCCAGTCCTATGTCAGCCTCACAATCTTTGCTATAGCTGAGCCCATTGTTGCAGCCACTGTGTCAATCCATCTTATTGGGGGCCTTCCTCTTTTTCACTGACCCTCCACTTTACCAAGCATGATATCCTTCTCCAGGGAATGGTCCCTTCTGACAACATGACCAAAGTAGGTCAGACAAAGTATGACCATTTTCACTTCCAATGAGCATTCCAACTGCACTTCCTCCAGTACAGATCAGTTCATTCTTTTGGCAGTCCATGGTACTTTCAGTATTCTTTGCCAACACCACAACTCAAAAGCATCAACTCTTCTTCAGTCTTCCTTTTTCATTGTCCAGCTCTCACATGAATATGAGGTGATTGAAAATACCATGG